TTTTGGGGCTTTATTTGCTGTTCTTTTTCCAGGTCCTTTAGGTGTAAGGATAGGTTGTGTATTTGAGCCATTTCTTCCTTCTTTAGGAAGGCCTGGATTGGTATATATTTCTGTCTTATGACCACCTTTGTTGCACCCCTGAGGTTTTGGATTGTTGTGTTTTCATTTTTACTGGCTTCCATGTAGTTTTTAATTTCCTCTTTAATTTCTTTGTTAACCATTCATTCTTTAATGATATTCTTTAATCTCCAAGAATTAGTGGTCTTTCCAAATTTTTTCTTATTGTTGACTTTAAGTTTCATAGTGGTGTGGTCTGAAAATATGCATGGTGTGATATTATTCTTTTTGTACTTGTTGAGGGCTGCTTTGTGACCCAATATGTGATCTATTCTGGAGAATGTTCCATGTGCACTCAAGAGGAATGTGTATCCTGCTGCTTTAGGATGGTATATTTTGAATATATCTGTTAAGGCTGGTCCAGCGTGTCATTCAATGCCATTGTTTCCTTATTGATTTTCTGCTTAGATGATCTGTCTATTGCTACAGGTGGGGTGTTGAATGCTATTATTATTACAAATGAGTTTCGTTATGTTAACCATAAATATAAACTCATTTGTAATAATAATACCACAAATTTATTTATATATTTGGGTGTTTCAAGTTGGGGGCATAAATATTTAGAGTTGTTAGATCTCGGTACATAAACCCCTTAATTATGATATAATGCCCTTCTTCATCTCTCGTTACAATCTATTTTAATATCTATTTTGTCTGATGTAAGTATGGCTACTCTGGCTTTCTTTTGACATCCATGAGCAAGATAGATGCTTCTCCATCCCCTTTTAATCTGCAGGTGTCTTTATATCTAAAATGAGTCTCTTGTAGGTAATGTATAGATGGGTCTTATTTTCTTATCCATTATGATACCTTATGTCTTTTGATTGGAGCATTTAGTCCATTTACCTTTGGAGTGATTATTGAAAGATAGGAATTTAGTGCCATTGTGCTCTCTGTACAGTTGGTCTTTCTGGTGATGTTCTTGGTCCTTTCTAGTCTTTGTTGCTTTTGGTCTGTTATGTTTTATTTTGTTTTGTTCTCCACTCAGAGTTCCCCTTAAAATTTCTTGCAAGGCTGGTTTAGTGGTCATAAACTCCTTTAGTTTTTGTTTGTCTGGGAAACTATCTCTCCTTCTATTTGGAATGACAGTCTGCTGGATAAGAATTCTTATGCATATTTTTCCAATTCAGCATGTTGAATATATCCTGCCACTCCCTTCTTGCCTGCCAAGTTTCTGTGAACAAGACTTTCTTTTTATTATGTTTGCATGGTACTTTTTTTTTGTTTCTTTTACTTATAGTTTATTTTACTTTGTTCCTTTTAATTTGTTCCTTTTACTTATAATTTATATATGTCTTTAATGTGAATTTCTTGTATACATCATATATTTGGGTCTGGCTTTTGTATCATATCTGTTAATCTCTGCCTTTAATTGTAATGATTAGACCATTTATGTCTAACATTAAATGTACCATATGGCTATTTGCTAGCTATTTTTGCAATTTTTTTTTCATTTTTCTGCTTTTGCTGCTTTTTTGGATTAATTGTATATTTTGAATGATTTATTACATCTAGATTAGTGGTTTATTAGCTGTGCCTCTCTTCTGTGGATATGTGGTTGCTTTAGCACTTACAGCATACATCGGTAACTTACCACAATCTACTTCAAATAATTTTTTCACTTCATTTATGAGAAGTTTGTAGTTTTCCATTTTTTACCTGCTACTTTTTATGCTATTGTCACTGTATATTTTACATATACATACATATGTATAACATATATTATAAACCTTACAGTGTGTTATTTTAAAAGATAATTTACCATTTTTTTTAAAAAAGCATTCTGAAAATAAGAAAAGTATATTTTATATATCATCATGTTTCCAGGTTATGGTGCTCTGCATTTCTGTGTATAAATCCAGATTTCTACCTGATAGCAATTTTCTTCAGTCTGAGCATTTCTTTTAACTTCTCCTGTAATATATGTCAGTTGGTAATAAATTCAGCTTTAACTGAAAATGTGTTGTATTTGCTAAATATAGAATTAAAGGTTGACTTTTTTCCTTCAGTACTTTAAAATTGTCACTTCATTGTTTTCTGGCTATATAACTTCTGACAAGAAGTAGGCATTCATCTTTATTTTTGTTCCTCTATATGTATTGTACCTTTCCCAGTCTACTTAAGATTTTCTTTTCATGGAATGAGATCTGGCCATTTGCAATAACATGGATAGACCTAGAGGGCATAATATTAAGTGAAATAAGTCAGTCAGAGAAAGACAAATACCATATGATTTCATTCCTTTTGGAATTTAAGAAACAAAACAAATGAACAAATGAACCAAAAAAGGGCCAAACAAAAAGAGCAGACTCTTAAATACAAAGAACAAACTGGTAGTTGCCAGAGGGGAAGTCAGTGGGGGGAATGATGAAATTGATAAAGGGGATGCAAAGTAAATTTATCTTGTTGAGCACTGAGTAACATATAGAATTGGTGAATGATTATATTGTACACGTGAAACTAATATAAAACTATGTTAATTATATTTTTAAAAAAATATTTTCTGTTGATATTATCAGCAGTTTTTAGCAGTGTGATTATAGTGTACCTTGGTGTGGGTTTCTTCATCTTTCTGCTCCTTAATTCATTTAGCTTTTTGGATCTAAGGGTTTGTACACATTATCAAAATTTGAACATTTGCCCATTATTTCTTCAAATGTTTCTATCTTTCTTTTTTTCTTCTGAAATTTTTATTGTACCTGTGTTAAACTACTTGATATCATCACAAAGGTCACAGATAACTAATTCTGTTTATTATTTTCTGGTCTTTATTCACTGGGTTTCTTCTTTCATAGTTTTTTTGTTGCTGTTGTTTTTTGGGTTTTTGGGGGTTGTTTTTGTTTTTGTTTTGCTATGCCTTAAAGTATCCATTATGTTATTTATCATTCCTTATGTAGTATCTATTCTCTTCTTAATCCCATTTAGTGTTTTCTTGTTTGTTGTTTGGTTGGTTGGTTTTCTCATTTCAGATATTTTTTATATTTAGGATTTTAGTTTGGAAATTTTCAAGTAAGTTCTCTTTTGTTCTCATCATGTTTATGTTTTTCTTTCTCTTCTTGAACATATGGTGTATATTTGCAGTTTTAAATGGCCTTGATTATTTTATCATGTGTTATTTCTTACTCTGTTGCTACTGATTGATTTTCTCCTCAATAAAAGTTGTATATCCTTACTTCTATTCATAACTCATAATTTGTTATTGGCCGCTGGGTGTTGTGAACTTTATATTGTTAGTTTCTAGTTTTGCTGTATTATTTTAAATCTTTTGAGGCGTTTTCTGATGTACAATTAAGTTACTTGGAATTAATTTGATCATTTCAAGGCTTGTTTTAAGCTTTGTTACATTAGATTCAGAGCTCACTTTAGGACTAATTGGCTCCTCTTTTAAGCAAAAGACAATTTTCTGGTATTCTTCCCAATTGGCCTTGAAGTAGGAGATTTTTCTACCCTGCCTGGTGCAGCAGAAACTTCCTACATTTGTTTATGCTTTGATGATTTTTTCAGCCTACTCTGATTCACTGGTCTTTCCCCAGCCTTAAGTATCTCTTACATACTTGCACAATTTAGGAGACTCTTCTGCAAATCTCTAAGACTGTATATCACTATACCTTTTTCTTTTCTGCTGTTTTATCCGTAACAATTCTAGTTGTCATGGATTCCTAAAAAGTTAATTATGTCATTTCAACTTACTGAGTCAGCCAGGCTTTTTTTTTTTTTTTTTTGATCTTTTTGTTATGTAGGATGTAAAGTCTTCTGGGCAGTAAGCTGTGTGATAAGGGAAATTTTCAACTTTTAATATTTGTGGGCCCTGCTCCTGGGCTTCCAGGGGTGCTATGCATTAACATTTACCAAGGTAAAAATGACTTGGCAAAAAACCTCAAAGCATTGGTTCTATTTCTGCCCCAAGCGTACATCTGCTTCAAATAAAAAAAAAAAAAAAAAAAAAGGAACATTCCAAACATAAAGATAAGAAAAACAAAACAAAAAACTCTCCCTGGTTCCCATAAGATTAAAGTCATACAACCTTGCACATAATAAAAACATAAGATAAAGTCTGTAACTTTCTGGAATGTCCTTCCTCTTGATTTGTGACTCTTTATGTAAAGAACATATATAACCGTGCACCAAATGTTCCTTCCCTGGAGCACTCTCATCCTTGTAAAGATTGTGTATCGGCAGTTGTCCTAACTTGGGTTCAAATACAATTCTTCCTTTCTCTTTAAAAAAAATTTTTAATGCTATATTTTAATTTTGAGAGGGAGCACAAGCGAAGGAGGGGCAGACAGAGAAGGGGACAGAGGATCTGAAGCAGGCTCCACACTGACAGCAACTAGCCCAGTGGGGCTCAAACTCATGAACCATGAGATCATGATGTGAGCTGAAGTTGGAAGCTTAACTCACTGAGCCACCCAGGAGTCCCTCTTTAAAAATTTTTTAAACGTTTGTTCATTTTTATTGATGTGTGATAATCATAGGACTCACCTCCTTTGTTTTCCTCTTGTAAGTATCCCACCAGACTGCCTGGTGTCTGAAGTCTAAAAACCAGTTTATATAGTTTGTATGCTTTTTTAAATTCTGCTATGGAGGGGTAAATCCGTTCCTTTCACTCTGTTATGGCAAGTTTGGGAAGTCCTTCTGAAATCTTGTTTGAAACACAGGCATTAACTGTTTTAGAATTTAACATCACTTACGCTTGTGATTCGGGGTTTTAAGATAGATCCTTGATGAGCCTTAAAAAATGTTTTTTGTTATCACTTCCCCCCTCACAAAAATTGTCATGAACACCCTGAATGTTCCACTTTTGAAACTATACCTTCCTTCACATTCTGAAACAGTGAAACCTGTGCAGCTAACTCAAGTGCTAAATTATTTCCCTTTTACAGGGTACTGCTTTACAAAACCAGAACTGATCTTCACATTGGAGCAAGGAGAAGATCCATGGTTATTTAAGAAAGAATTTCTAAGAAAAGGCTCCCCAGGTGAGTTATTGAATACTGGCAGAAGGCATCCAAGAAAATTAGGTACAAAGTGATGAGCTAGAAGTGAGCAGTTTGAAACATTTTGCAGTACTGTCCTTTTTACAGGCTTTTACATTTGAAATTGTAAAAATAATAGATCTAATAAAATGTGGAAGGGGCCAGCTAACACAAGGAATGGATTAAGCATGTTTATATTCTTACCTTTAAAAGATGGGAGCTAAGTATCCCATTTGAAGCTGAAAAGTAACGAATTTTGCATACTTAACAGTAAAAAAGATAGAAACTAAAGTTAATAAAACAACTAAACTTGAGAGTCAGCAGATCAGAAAAGAGAAAGGAATGATAATTATTTTTTAATGTTTATTTATTTTGAGAGAGAGAAAGAGACAGAGTGTGAGTGGGGGAGGGGCAGAGAGAGGGAGACACAGAATCTGAAGCAGACTACAGGCTCTAAGCTGTCAGCACAGAGCACAATGTGGGGCTCAAACCATGGGCTGAAGACCACGGGATCATGACCTGAGGCGAAGTTGTATGCTAAACCGACTGAGCCACCCAGGTGCCCCAGGAACCATGATGTCTTTCAATTTTTTTAATGTTTATTTATTTTTGAGAGAGAATGAGCAGTGGAGAGTCAAAGAGGGAGGGAGACACAGAATCTGAAGCAGGCTCCAGGCTCCAGGCTCTAAGCTGTCAGGCCGACATGAACTGTGAGATCATGACCTGAGCCAAAGTCAGATGCTTAACCAACCAAGCCATCTAGGCACCCCAGGAACCATAATTTTATCATTATATAATAATTAATTACTAGAAGCCATCTAAATAAATAGATGATTAAGGAATTACATAATGTAATTGGAAAGGATAATTCCTGGAGCAAACTGCATCCTTCCTAATTATTAGAAGTTAAACGTGTTTGAGCAAAGATAGAAAAGTTTCTTATAAAGCTGTATAAAGAGTCCCTGATAAATTGTGTGTCAACTATACTTCAATTAAAAAAAAAAAAAGTCCCCAGGACAACCACTACATTCACTGGTTCTCTTACTCAGCATATAGTCATACTCATAGCTAAGATTTATAAAGTGAAATGATTGGTACAAAGCAAAATTAGCAAAGAGAAAATGGACAAAGTCCAGAGGAAACAGGTGCAAGCTTCCATCATCCCAGCAATGAATGTGGCAACACATGTGAAATGTTGTCTACCTGGAAAGTTCATTAGCGACTAGGTTCTTGGGAACCATTTCAAAATCTAAATTCCCAGATGCCAGCCAAGGATTAATCTTGCAAGCACACCTTCTAAGGTAATAATCTCAGGCCTGCTGTGTTAAGTGTTCTGCACAAAAGCTATGCAAATATACTATCTAATATACAGTAAGGTAAATCTATCTGCCATATCAACTAATATGTGAATGAATTAAATTCACCTATTAAGATAACATGCCACCAGATTGTATCAGAGATATGCCTAAAAAGTAACATACAAAGTTTGAAATATAGTCATGAATTGTTAAGCCCAAAATGTAAAATAAGATCACGTCAAAAACAGAGAAGAAAAAGGACAGTTTGATAAAGCTAAAAAAGATCATGTTTAAAGGATATGTGAAAGTTTTGACTATTGGTGCACCAAATAGATTATCAAGATTCAAAACAAGAAACAGCAAGAGTTATAAGGAGAAGTAGGTGTACATTAGATGCAGTAGACTTTAATATGCCGCTCTGATTTCATACCAGACCCAGTGGAGTCTAGAATAGTGCTCAGGAAACTATCCCTAGGTCATATCCTGCCTGCAGCTTTTTTTGGTAAAGAAACATTTATTACAACACAGCCATATCCATTTGTTTATGTATTCACACTGCAGAGTTGAGTAACATGGGTTTGAACTGCACAGGTTTTCTTCTATGTGGATTTTTTGTTCAATAAATACAGTACAGCACTATAAATGTATTTGCCCTTTCTTATGATTTTCTTAATATTTTCTTTTCTGTAGCTAACTTCATTGTATGAATAAAGTATATAAAAAAGAATACAGGGTATAATAATGTGACATACAAAACGTGTTAATTGACTTTATGTTATTGGTATGGCTTCTGGTCAACAGCAGGCTATTAATAGTTAAGTTTTTGGTGAGTCAAAAATTGTAATGCAGATTTTCAACTACGTCGTGGGGTGGGGGTGGAAGTTGGTGCCCCTAAACCCCATGTTGTTCAAGAGTCAACTATAATTGCAACAGAGACTACATGACCAGCAAAGCCTGACACATTTATTCTCTGGCCTTTTACAGAGAAAGTTTGCCAACCTCTGATCTAGAAAGTATAAATAGCATACTTTATAAAATGAGTCTATTAAGTGTCTTTCAAAACTCTATTCTGAAAACAAAAAATAAACCTGCTTTTAAATGACTTTGGAATATTGAGAAAATGTACAAGCATTTTAGACAAACATCAATAAATTCCACAAGGTAGAGATACTGTTGTTTAGTAACACTGTAAATTGCAAACAATATGAGAAAAGTTAAAATTCCTCTATCTTAAAATCAGTGATGAATATATATCTTAAAAACCTATTTTATCGGGGCACCTAGGTGGCTCAGTCAGTGAAGCACCTGACTCTTGATTTGTGCTTAGGTCATGATCTCACACTTCACGAGTTCTAGCCCTGCACTGTCAGTGCAGAGCCTGCTTGGGATTCTTTCTCTCTCCTTCTGTCTCTGCCCCTTCCCTGTATTCCCTCATGCTCCCTCTCTCAAAAATAAATTAATAAACTTAAAACCTATTTTATCAAAATTATACAATATCCAGAAAATTTTTTTAATGAAAAACATGTTTTAATTACAAACTTTGGACTGTAGATAAAGCAGTGCAGAATTTTTAGTCTCATATACAGTTGACCTTGAACAACACAGGTTTGAACTTCATTGATCTCCTTATACATGGATTTGTTTTTTCAATAAATACAGTACAGTACTATAGATATATTTTTTTCTTAATAACATTTTCTTTTCTCTAGCTTACTTTTTTATAAGAATACAGTATATAATACATGTAACTTACAAAATATGTGTTAATCAACTGTTTATCTTATTGGTAAGGCTTCTGTCCAATAGGACTATTAGGAAAGTTTTTGGGGAGTCAGAAATTATACACAGATTTTCAACTGCAAGTGGGAGTCAACACCCCTAAGCCCTGTGTTGTTCAAGGGTCAAGTGTACTTATTTTAACAAGTGAGAGAGTTGTAAAAGAAATCTTAAGTAAAGCAAAAGATATAATAAAAACTATAATGGTATAAATTATAAAGCAAAAGGTAGTTTTGGAATAAAAATAAATAATGTAGCTAACCTCGGCCAGAAAAAGGAAAGAAAGCACATTACTCATAAAATTTGGAACAGATTCCTATTTCTATAAAATAACCTTGGAATACTTTACCCTATACTTTATCTCTTACTTTTGTAAACTTCTAACCCATTTGATGGATGTGTCAAAGATAATGAGATATCTGTGCCAGATAGCATATGGTTATCAAATGAGATCCCCTCGCCCCCAAAAGGATGGTCTGTTTTATTTTTCCTTACTCTGGTATGTGTATATATATATATACACACATCATATGATAAATTTTTTTTTTAATTTTTTTTTTCAACATTTATTTATTTTTGGGACAGAGAGAGACAGAGCATGAACGGGGGAGGGGCAGAGAGAGAGGAAGACACAGAATCGGAAACAGGCTCCAGGCTCTGAGCCATCAGCCCAGAGCCTGACGCGGGGCTCGAACTCACGGACCGCGAGATCGTGACCTGGCTGAAGTCGGACGCTTAACCGACTGCGCCACCCAGGCGCCCCTATGATAAATATTTTTTAATAACATTGTGGATTGATTCCAAACCCAGGTGGAGATAACTATTTCATATATATTCATACAGAAGACATTCATAAATGCAATGCCCAAGTAAAATTTCTGGGACTTTTGAATTCTCAGTTGTAGGTCAGCAATTGATCTGAGCCCTTATATGTGTAGAGCTCTCTAGGTAATTCTCTAGGTAATTCTGAGGCACACTGCTTTCTATGGACCACTGACTTTACATCAGAGAAGGATCCAAAGAATATCACAGTGAGGGTTTCATTTTGGAAAAGTGAGCAAAACTACATAAAATATATTTCATATCATATAAGGTGCTGTTAATTAAAAAATGAACCAGTATTATAAGTACATCCAAGAAAAAGAAAATGCTGCTGATTTAACTATGGACTTGCCATCAATTTTAAGATGCCTCCTGATTTCAGTTATGGTAATTTGCTTTTAAAAATCATGGGTCATGATGGGTGCTCTCTATATCCCTTGTTAAAATGAATGATATAGGCAGAATGATACTTCTGTCAGATTTTAAAATAAATGTTGCTTAAATTTGTGAGAAGATACTAGAAGCCTTTTTGTTGATGTTGTTGTTGTTAAGTTTGGGGAAGATAGCTTTGCTGTGCCTGAAGGACATCTAGATTCTATATAGTCCTAAGGCTAGAATGGAGGGTAATTTACGGAAACTTATAAATATAAAATTATATGGAAATGAACCAAGTAATGGGGACTGATATCTTATCAAGATTAGAGCAGAAGATACTGTGAACTGGTAGAATGATAGCCAGAACACATAATGTTCATGCAGTTAATGTGAAACTTTCTTTCCCTAAATCACTTAAATCTTTCATCTCTTGGTCCCTAGGGCACTGTTTTCAAGGCCTTCACATATTTTTACAATAGGCCTGACATTTTTGCTAGAAGTGTGGGTAGAAGCAGGAAAATAAATGTTAAATATGCACAGGAAACATATGGTAAATAAATACAAAAGATACTTGTTTTTAGGGCCAGTTTGGAACATGATCCTTTAAGTTCTTGTGGTCAAAAAAAAAACCTAGATATGCTGAAAAACAGAATCAAGGATTGAGCAAGCAAGGTATTTTGGGGGAAATTATGAGCAAGCACATTGAAAAGAGAAAAGTTAAAGTTTGATGACCAAGAGATAGTCAGTATTGAACAACTCTGATATACCAAGGTATGAGAACCAGGATAGAGCAGTGATTCCCAATATAGATGGAAAATTACTTAACTCCCATCATTTTTTCTTTTCATACTTCTACTGATACACTTGTTTCTGAATGATATACAGAGAGAATAAAAGCATGACAAGTAGAATTATTTTTTTCACCATGAGGAATTTGGTGCCATTATAAGTTTATTTTAGTGTTGTTGTATAGACTGGAAAAAATGGAGCTCCAACTGGAATCATATAGACTAATGATTATGCTCCCATTGCAATCTGTATTTCACGAAGAACCTAGACTCTGGTATTTTTTCCTAATGCATATTCTATGTCAGATAAATCCACTGAAGGCCTTTAATCTATTTAATGCCATAATCTTTGCTAAATTCATCCCATTCTCTGTTTTTTTCTGTTCTTTTCTGTTTCCAAGATCCATCTCTCTTGAATATATTCTCCATTCTCAGTTTTTCCTTTCCTTTATATCTTCTTCTTATTTATTTCTAATTACTTCTCTTTTTCTACTACAAAAAAGAGAGAATATGCACTTGGAATTACTGTATTGTTGCAAAACTTAGCCAGAAACCAAGGAGTCAAATACATAATAGGGCATGTATCTTTATGTCCCATTCCATAAGTGTGTTAAATATCATAAAGTATTTTTAATTTTCTCATTTTTTAGAAGAATACCAACCTAATCAACTCTCAGAGAAGAGCCTAGAAAACCAAGGCAAATATTTGTGGCAAGTTTTATTCACCAACAGATCATTGACTACAGAGGAAGAGTTTTCAGGAAAACCATGTAATCTGGACATAAACAATTTAACTCCAAGAACAATGCCCTATAAATTTGACAGTACAGGACCTGCTTACCTACATCTCAGCTCAGTGGCTCCACATTGTCAGTATTCAAGAAAGAAGGCTCATGAGCTTAATGTATGTGAGAAATGGCTCCTCAGTATTAAAGAGGGAAGAACTAATACTGGAGAGAAGTCTTTTGTTTGTAGTAAAAACGTGAAAGCCTTTAGTCATAAAGAGAAGGTTACTCAGTATCAGACAATTCAGACTTTGCAGCAAGCTTCTGAATACAATGAATGTGGAAAAGCTTTCCTTGAAAAGACTGTCCTCATTACATCTAAGAGTACCCACCCAAAAGTGAAATCTTATAAATTTAATAAATTTGGGGGAAAACAATGTGATAAGTCAACTTTTATGGTCTCTCATAGCAATAATCCAGAGGAGAAGAGTCATTATGAGCTTAATGAATATGAATGTACTGAAAACAGAAATAATTTCAGTAGGGTCACTCAGAAAACTGACACAGAAGGGAAATCTTTCAACCAAAAATCACAAATTAGAGAACATCAGAAAATTCACATAGGAGTGAAACCCTTTGAATATGGAAAGAATTTCAACCGTAATTCAGCCCTCCCAGTGCATCAGAGAACTCACACAACAGACAGATCTGATTATGACACATGTACAGAGACATTAGTTTGTCAGTCAGCTTTCAACATACATCAGAGATCTCCCATAACAGAGAAACCATATGAATGTAATGAATGTGGAAAATCCTGCTCTATGAATTCATTTTTGATTCAGTCTCTAGCAAGTCACACAGGGGAGAAACCCTATGAATGTCACACATGTGGGAAAGCTTTCAGTGAGAAGTCACGCCTAAGAAAACATCAGAGAACTCACACAGGAGAGAAACCATATAAATGTGATGGTTGTGAGAAGGCTTTCAGTGCAAAGTCAGGCCTAAGAATACATCAGAGAACTCACACAGGGGAGAAACCTTATGAATGTAATGAATGTGGGAAATCTTTCAACTATAAGTCAATCCTCATAGTACATCAGAGAACTCACACAGGAGAGAAACCTTTTGAATGTAATGAATGTGGAAAATCTTTCAGCCACATGTCAGGCCTAAGGAATCATCGGAGAACTCACACAGGGGAAAGACCTTATAAATGCGATGAATGTGGGAAGGCTTTCAAACTGAAGTCAGGTCTAAGAAAACATCACAGAACTCACACAGGAGAGAAGCCCTATAAATGCAATCAATGTGGGAAAGCTTTTGGTCAAAAATCACAACTCAGAGGACATCATAGAATTCACACAGGGGAGAAACCCTACAAATGTAATCATTGTGGGGAAGCTTTCAGCCAGAAATCAAACCTCAGAGTGCATCACAGAACTCACACTGGGGAGAAACCCTATAAATGTGATGAGTGTGGAAAAACTTTCAGGCAGAAATCAAATCTCAGAGGACATCAGAGAACTCACACAGGGGAGAAACCCTATGAATGTAATGAGTGTGGAAAAGCTTTCAGTGAGAAATCGGTCCTAAGAAAACATCAGAGAACTCACACAGGGGAAAAACCCTATAATTGTAATCACTGTGGAGAAGCTTTCAGCCAGAAGTCGAACCTCAGAGTCCATCAGAGAACTCACACAGGGGAAAAACCCTATAAATGTGATAAATGTGGGAAAACTTTCAGCCAGAAATCAAGCCTTAGAGAACATCAGAAAGCCCACACAGGGAGTTAAACATATGAATGTTAAGAATATGGAAAAACTTTGAGCCAGAAATCAAATCTCACAATACAAAAGAGAAAGAATCCCTATGAATACAATCAACACTTGCAAGTTCCTCTGTAAGATACCAACCTTCACAAACATCAGAGAACTTAACAGGACAGAAATTCTTGGAATATATTTTCTGTGGGCAGTCTTTCACCCAGAGTGCAGTCCTCATTATGGATCAGAGAACTCAGCCAGCAAAGAAAATGTAAAGATAATGAATGTGAAAAATACTCTGTACTCAATCCTCAGAAAAATCACACTGCAGAAAAGCTCTGGGAATGTATAAAAATGTGAAAGCTTTGTATCAGTAATCAAAACTTCCTCATCATCAGAGAAATGATTCAGTGGGAAACCTGAGAATGTAATAAGTGTTGGATAACCTTTAGCCAAAAGTCAGCTTTCTTAGTACAACAGAAAATATATAGAGACTAGAGATCTAATCAATAAAAACAAAAAATGAGGCAATGGATGTGAGAATCCTTATATTATAAATCAATCCTCAATTTGACTTACACAGAAGTAATCCCCGTATGCCATAATGACTAGTAATTGTTCACAAAAACAAAAAACAAAAAAAACCCACCATTTCCTCTCTCCCTCATGCCACACCTAGTCTAAATTTCTCAACTAGTGCCACCCAAATGGGGTCATGTTAGTAATCTCTGGCTAGTGGAATATGGGGATCATTGACAAGCCTCGTTGAAAACATCCCTCAAATTCCCAATGTTTTCTCCTGTCCCTTATCATAATGGAGTGGAGATTGCCCTCAGTGAAACCATGGGGGTCATATGCTGAAAATGGGAGAGTACAAGATGGAAGGAAACAGAAAAAGAGTGACTGGAATAGAGTTTTCTCCTCCATGTACACAGACTTTTTGCGGCAAGGAAATAAACTTGTTCTCTGCTGAGTTACAGATTTGGGTATACTTAATACTGACATATACTCACCAACCCTCAGTAAAGCCTATGAATATGATTTCTGTGGATATCTGAACTCAACGTATATCAGAAACCCGACACAGGAGAAACCCCTGACAACATCCTGAATGACCATAGTTTATATCCACAACTCTTCATCAGTCAGGTAAATATCAGTGGAAGAAATCCAACATTTGAATATACATAGGAAATCCTTTACCAAAAAAAAAAAATGGTTTCTCATTAAATATCTGATAATTGAATTGTAAATGTATGAAAGTTTTCAACAAGTCATCAAACTTTAATCTCTCTCAGAATGTGTTACAAGGAAAATCTATCAATTTGAGAAAGGTAAGTAATGGTGTTTACTTAGACGTTGTTCTATGAGACTGTTACTTCATATCTATTATTAAGACAGTTACTGAAACATAACAGTGTTGATACAAGATTCACTAGAATAATAAGCTTTAAAAGAATAAGAAATAAATTGCATAAACTGAACAGCATTGAATGTATGTGATTATTTTCTGAGTTCTCTAATTTTTGTGTGGGTTTGTATACATGCATACCACTTACCAGGTGTTAGTTAATATGTATACTGGAACTCTACATCATTGTAATATAATTATGTACCTTGCTCATTAACTATTCTGACATCAGCTATGTTTTGCCACATAGAGATTAATAACAAATAAACCTTTTACAGAAAGTATCTGAAAAGTGAGAATCCCATACTACATGTACATATAGGAAAGGCCATTGTTACTAACAGTCTCTTCAAAGAAGCCAAACAACGTTTTCTGTGTACTTTTGTATTATCTCGGGGTCACCAAAACATTTAAGCACATTTAACCATACACACACACACACACACACACATCTTCATTGTCACTGATTGTTTTCTCAGAAGTGTCAAGTATACTGAGGAGCCCTTTGTAGGCATTCTTTACTTATGATACTGTGCTTTTTATTTCAAGCACTTAAATTTTATTAAACTTTCCATATTTCTGCTGAAATAACCTATCTGATCTTGGATGTTGTCTAGCTTTTCTATTAGAGTCGTTCTGTATGGCATTTGGCATTCTCTGGCTCAGTTAAGCAACTGCTTGAGCCCTTGCTTCCTTCTCCCTGCAGGCACCTAGCTCTCCAGACTGTGGGGGTTTTTTGTCCTAAAATGTCAGATGTCTGATGCTTTCAAGAAAACTTGTTAAATTAAATTCTGCCTAGCTGGGGTTTTTTTTGTTTTGTTTTATGGATGGGAGCAGTGCTCTTTTCCTGCTCTCTACTTACCTGAGCTAAAACTGAAAGTTGTCACTGGATTTTGATAAATGTTCCAGCATAATTTGATGGGGAAAGGATCAAAAATGGTGAGAAAATAACTGGATATTCATCTATTTTAAATGTACCTTGATGTTTACATCATAATTAAATATTTATTAAAAAATGAAACAGACCTAAACAAAATAGCTAACAGTACAAAATTTGTTAGAAAACAGAGAAAAAAGTAACTTCACTTTGAGACCAGATTTTTAAGATGTAACAAAAAGTATGAAACAGCAAAGCAAAAAAGTTGGAGTTTATGAAAATTTAAAGTGCTTTTCAAGATTTTATTATGAAAATGGAGAAAAACACAGATTAGGAGAAAATGTCTCAAATAGATCTGACAATTATATCTGACAAAGGACCTGTATCCATGATATGTAAAAAATATTAATAATAAAAAAGAATTTTTATAATGCAATAATAATACAAACAACCTAGGTAAAATGGGCAGAACAGGAAGACAGTTCACAAAAGAAGATATATAGATAGCTAATAAATACTAGAAAAGATGTCCAAAGCTTCAGTAATCAAGAAAGTGCAAATTAAAATTGTAATGTGATAGCATTGCAGTTCTTTTGATAGTTCCTTATAAAGTTAACAATATTACACCTACAACCAACAATTTCAGGTCTAGATATTTACCCCCAAAGAAACATAAAAAACTATACCAAAAACTTTTTGATAGTTTTTTTTAAAGAATTTTATTAAGATATTCATGGAACTTTTATGCATAATAGCCCCAAATTAACCAAAATGTTCATCAATAGATAAATGTGTGTAAACAGTGATATTACCTTACAATGGAATAGCACTCAGCAATACAAATAACTACTAATGGATATATCAACATTGATAAATCTCAATGAGATTAGACTGGGAAAAGAAGCCAAGCACAAGAACGTAGAACTCTATGATCTCAATTAATGAAATTCAAGAGAAGACATCTAATCTAGAGTGATAGGAAGCAGATCATTGGTTTCCAAGAGTGGAGGGTGAGGATTCACTGGGTAGAGGAACAAAGGAATGTTTTAGTGTGATGGAATATTCTATATTTAGATTATGATAGCATTTACAAAGCTGAATAAATGTTCACAACTCATCAAAATGTGCAAAAAATTAATATACTTTATATTTCATAAATTACATATCAGTACAGTTGATTTGAAAGATCATAGTGAACTTAAAATCCCCAGTACATTATGAGACCCAGTACCAAGTGGCTTGTTGACTTTACTACTTGGGTATTTATTCCCCCCTTCCCCTCCCTGTTTGTCTTTGTGACCTTAGGCAAATCAGTTCTCCTTTATGTTCTTCACTTTCCTCATTTGTGAAAGGTGCATAATGATAGTAATTACCTACAATCCATTTTGAAGCATTTTCTGAGTTAATCTGTGTCAATGACAGACTTACCAAACCAAGGAGTGCTTGAGTGATACTTCTAACAGTCAACCACACTAGTAATATGTTTTTATATGCTATGTTTTGGTGGGGAAATGCATATAATTTTTCAAAATAAGTGTGGCATAGACTGCTCTTTGCCATATTTTCCCAATATTTTTATAGTATTTGGCTTTGAATTCCACCACCACCACCACACACCCCCTCCCCCCACCTCCTAGTACTGTTTTTATTGTATCCCTTGATTTTGGTGTATTGTCTTTTCCTTTTCATTGTTTCTAAGTATTTTCTAATTTCCCTTGTGATTTCTTTTGTGATCTGTTGTTTGTTTAAGAGAATGCTGTTTAATTTCCACAAATTTGAGTTTTCCAATTTTCCTTCTGTTACTGATTTCTGACTTCGTCCTGCTATGGTCATAGAAGAGCCTTTGTATAATACCTTTCTTTTTAAATCTATTGAGACTTCATTTTTATCCTAACATTTGGTCTCTCCTGAAGAATACCCCATGTGCACTTGATACAAATGTGTATTTTGTTTAGTATTGTGTTCTATAAGTGTTAGATCTAGTTGGTTTATTTTGTTCTATAAATGTTTGTTAGATCTGGTTGGTTTATTTTGTTATATAGATCCTCTATTTCCTTATTTATCTTCTGTCTGGTTGTACTGTCCATTATTGACAGTGAGATATTGAAATCTCCCTGTTATTGTAGAAATATACGTTTCTCCCTCAATTCTGCCTATTTTTGCTTCTTATATTTTGATCTGTTATTATGTGTGTAATTGTTTGCAATTGTTAGATCTTCTTGCTCTATTGCACCTTTTATTAATGTATAATGTATTTTGTGCCAAACTTTTTTTGATTTAAAGTCTATATTGTCTGATATTATAGGTATCCAGGCTCTCTTTTGGTTACTGTTTGCATAGAATATCTTTTCTATCCTTTCACTGTCAACTAATTTGTGTCTTTGGATCTAAAGTCTCATGTAAATAGCGTAGAGTTAGATCAAGGTTTTGTTTTGTTTTGTTTTGTTTTAATCCATTCTGCCAGTCTCTCACAATTGAAGAGTGTACTCCATTTACATTTAATTACTGAAAAAGAGGAATTAACTTCTATTTTACTTCTATTCATTTTGCTGTATGTTGTCTATATGGCTTATTGGGTTTTTTGTCCCTCATTTTCCACATTCATCTTTTTTGTTTTGTAGACTTTTTTTTAGTGAAACATTTAAATTACCTTCTCATTTCCTATTGTGCATATTCAAGAGCTATTTCTTTGTGGTTACCATGGGGATTACATTTAACTTCCTAGTGTTATTGCACTCTATA